TTGCTGCCATGTCCAGTGCTGTTAAGTCTTACTTTAGCGGATTAACCAAACCCTGGCCCACTTCCTTTCTCCTCAGTTCAGTGAATGATTGAGAGATTGGGGCAACCTTGGGCTTCTCAGTTCATCGTAAGAATTATTTTCCTGGGCTGGACTGGAGGTTTCTGTGGAATTCTTAGGAACAGAACCAGTGAGATTTACCCAGAAGCCCTCTGCAAAGGTGTATGGCTCCTAATGCCCCCCAACACCCCACATTGATAAATTGAGGCTCTCTTTGAATTAATTCAATGATATCATAAAGCCTGGGTTAGGAATTTAGTTGCAAGGGTCAGACCTATTTGCTTTGTTGTTTGAAAAATGCAAAGTTGCCCATTCCTGATTTCCATGGGTGTTATCTATGTAAAATTTTCTATATAAATATTTATTGTGGCCTGGTGTGCTAGCTCAGTGGACTAAGTACCTGCTTAGGCAAGCACAGGGATCAGGTTCGATCCCCAGTACTGCATGCCGTGCTGGCTGTGGCCTTGGGCACGCTGAGCAGGCCACTGAGACCAGGCATGGTGGCGCATACCTGTAATCCCAGCACTAGGAAGGCTGAAAATAGGAGGATCATTATGAGTCTGAGCTGTGTAGTGAGACCCTGTACCAAATTAAAATAAATATTTATTGTTTGTTCTATTTTTCAAGAGTATGAAGAGGGGGAGCCTTCAACTCAATGAGAGCCACCCATACTAACTTAGGTCTTACCAATACTTCTGTAGTAGCTACAAGGTAGAGAAAATTTCTTCCGTCAGTGGGAGGAGTTCACAATAGCTATATCCTTCACCTTAACACATAAGATATTTATCCAGGAAGCATTTTTTAAACTTTATTTTTAGAGCAGTTTTAGGTTTCCAATAAAATTAAGAGGAAATTATGGAAGCTTCCCACATATTCCTTGTCCCTACACATACACAGCCTGCTTCATTATCAACACTTGCTGCACTTGATGAGCCTACATAGACAGAAAATAATGATTTAAAGCCCGTAGTTAACACCGAGGTTTCCTCTTGGTGTTGTACATGTTATGGATTTGGATGAGTTTGTTATTGTATATATTCAGCACCATCAAAAAGCCTTTTTGGTCCAGCCAGATAGCTCAGCAGATTAAAGTGCCTGCTTAGACAGACCCAGGGACGAGGTTTTGATCCCCAGCATATGAGGCCAGCCCAACCTCCAGAGCATGCTGAGACAGTGATTGAAACTGGGTGTGGTGGTGCACACCTGTAATCTCAGCACTTGGGAGGCTGAAAACAGGAGGATCACTACAAGTCCAGTGTATGCAGTGGGACCGTGTAGACCTTGTAGTAAATACATTTAAAAAAAAAAAAAAAGCCTTTTAACTCATGCTTAGTAACCTGTTTACCACATATTATACAAAATCATAAGCAGTTTGGGCATTCTCATTCTGCATGGGCCAAGGAAACAACCAAGTGGAATTTAAGAAAAGAACATTAAACTTTCTCATATGAAATGTAAGTATATCTGAAATGCCGCATTATTTGTCTTGTGTGATATTTGGGATAACCTATATCAAAATTTTATTCACTATCTGAAATTTAAATTTACCAGGGCATTCTTTTTTCTGGTGAACTGAAAAAACAAGATTGTGATAAGGCCATGCAGTCACAATATCTTAAAAGGGAGGAGGAGTATTTTTCAAGGACTTCAAAAGTATTGGGAACTAAATGACAATGCCGTCGGTGCTGATTCAAATTATTATTATAACTCTAGTGATATGAAATTAAGTAGCTTTTATAAATTTATGAGCCACTAAGCCAGAGTAATATGAACTCTTGTAACTCAAATATTTCACTGTTTCTTTTGTTAAAATTTTAGTAATGTTTATCATTTTTGATTAATCCACAGTTGATTGTTAATCAATGTTCCTGTCTTCCTAAATTAATGATCTACTTAGGAATTGAATAGAGCTGAGCACATCAAGTGCAAGTCCCTTTGCAAAACAACTTTTTCTATTTAAAGACTCCTGTATGATTTGGTCAATCACTTAGAACAGATTCATTGTGGAAGTTCTAATTTCTACATAATCATTTTTTTCTACAAATACAAGCAAGTATTTATTTTATAAAGAAATATGGTCATACTTATATTTATTTCCTCTTTAATAACTTATTATAGAAAAATTACAAATAGCATAAGCAACTTTTTTTAAAAAGTAAGTAGTTTGTTTCTTTAAATCAGAGTGATTTAATTTTGTTGTGATTGTTGCTGTTGTTGTTGAGAGAACTTCCTAAAGGAAGACCAGGTAGAAAGTAGTATAAAGGCATGGTAGCATTGGGGTTGCTCTCCCACTTTCTAGGCCCTTGAAAACTCTTCCACTTGGGAGTCTTACACCCCAGAACCCACCTAGAATTAGGTAGTACTGAAGGCTAAGCTTTAAGCCTACAGGAAGCTGTGGAGGAGGGTGATGTTGGAGGAGTCCGTGCTATTCAGGGCATCAAGAGTTCCCATATGATATGGGCTGTTTATTTTGGAACTTTTCATTTCATAAAGATACAGTTCTCAGTGAAAGCTCTGTGTCCTCTTGAAAAAGTATCATCTCTTTCTTTCTTATAGAAAGTGATTGATTCAGTCAACAGTCATCAAGACCTCCAGGCACCAGACCCCACCCTGGCATTTGTGACCAGTCAGAGGTCCATCCAGACAGTCCCCGCCTTTTGGAACTGGCATTCCATCAGAGTAGACGGTTCATATATGACACACCTAACACCTCAGGCAATGTGTTAGAACATAGCAGTGCTGTAGTGGGGGGAGCAGGGAGCGGGGCACAGGAAGTAGAGATTGGGGACATATTGCACTTCAGCCAAGGAAGTCAGTGTGACTGCTGATGCTTACATTTAAACAAAACCTTGAAGGATGCTTGGAGTCACATAGGGTCCTCTAGGGAACAGACATCACTCTAGATAAAAAGGAGTTAGCCCACAAAAGGACCAGAGTCCCTCACACTGTGGTTCTCCGTCTGGATGATTTTGCCTGCCTAGGAACACTTGGCCATGTCTAGAGACATGGTTACTGTGGTGACTAGGACTGGTGGACCCAGACTTCCTACAGTGTACTGGACACATTCCCACAAAGAAGGATGATCCTGGCCAGCGTGTCAGGAGGCTTAACACATAGGTAGTTAAGTCATCCTGGCTGCATTTCATTTTGCACTATAGAATACTACTATGTTTTAAAAATTAAATAGTTTAGGTTTATGATCAAATAATTTGCAGTAGGGTAAGCACTGTCTACACTTTCTGTGATTTCACACAGTCTTGGAAAAGAATTCCTCTTGCATACATCTCTTCTTAGGCATATTTTTCTAAGTCACATATAATC